CTACATTTTAAAATAGAATAGAAAGATTCTATAACTAGAAAGCAGTTATTTTAATATTTCATAATATTACTATTACTAAAAATTTACCAACCCCTAAACATTTTAACGGTAGTGTACATTAGTTCTTCTGTTAAATTTAGAGTATGTTTTGAACTAGTAATTTAACAGTTGTTTTAAGATTTTAGGTATTTTAATATTAGGTCTTATTGGAAATTAGATACATGCAAAAGTTTAGTAAGTGATTCTACTGTTCCCTGCTAAAATCATGTTAAAACAGATATTGTTTACATCTTCTGTCTATACTACTGAAACGGAGTATTTTAAGTTTTATGGATCAGTCCCGTTTAACTCCATTATAAGTAGGGCTGAACGATTAATTGCATTTGCGATAATATCGCGATATGAAAAAACACGATTTTTCAATCGCAGAGACTGCGATTACGAGACAAGTCAAAATGAATTTTTCAGGTATTGTGCCACAAAAGCTGTTGATTGAGCTTAACTTTTATTGAACCTGTAATATTCCTTTAAGGCACTGTTGCGATGTCTGAAGCTCTTTTTATGGTGTGCTAAGTTGTTTTGTGTAATGTTTTAGTGTGTATGAATGTCTTTTTATAAGCATTGCAGTGCTGCTGCGTTTCTCACCACAGGGCCCGATTTAATCCGAGTCCACAAACACCCACCATATGGGGCACACCCAGCCGAAGTGATGATGGCAGGCTTTTTCAGGGGGAGGATCCACATAGAAACCCCTGTCATCTGAGATAGTAAAGCTGAAGAACAACTGAATCTCTTCTCTCCGAGTAGCATTTAGGCATAGGCCGAGATGAAGCAAAATCACAGTGTTTCAAAGGCAACGCTTGACTGTTTCAGACATTAAGAGCCTGTTAAGACAGCCCGTCTGAAACAGGTGCTCCTGTTAAATGCTGACCTTTCTTTATCAAGCTGATTCTGATCCTTCTAAACCAGAGAGGAAAAACATTGATCAAGGATCAATTTCCCGATTCCACTGAAGTCGATGTAAGAATGGGAATGAAGCTGGGTCAGAGGCAGCTACAAGGAAAACCACCTCTTGCAATTGAACGAGTATAGAGGCTGATTTATGTGACCTAGTTTGAGGTTTGCAGACGCACAGGGCACACATTTCTTGATGTTTTTTACTCTGCGGTCTCTTTTCTTTCGATTTGTAATCCAAATAAAAGAAACGTTGGCTTTCTGAAGCTTTAAATGTCGTTTTGGGTGGAAGCAAACCTAGACGGTTTGAAAACCTTGAGGTGCATTATTGATACTTTCCCCTGCAGCAACGGTGCAGAGGCTCCCTATTGATTTGCCTAATGTGGCAAAACTGCTCCACTCTCCTGCTTGCTTACATAACTGCTGTCTGTTTCAGCGCCTGCTCTGGAGCTGTGCAGCATTAAATAACCGTTCATTTATTCCCTCTCCATTCCTGTCACTCATGTTGAGAGACAGTTGTTGCATCGGACACCGTGATTATAATTTTTCACTGCCGAGTGTTTATAATGAGCCTGCTGTCCCTCAATGTAGGCCTTATCTTTGACTAACGTTTTTAGTACTTTAAAGCAACTTTATTAAACACTGCACAATGCACCGCTACTTCACCTGATGGAGGGTTTGGCTGCACTGAGTGAATACAAATTCAGCAATGCTTGTCAAGTTCACGGTGGCCGTGAATTCGCAGTAATTGTAATTGTAAATTTGATGTGTTCTCCAGTGGCAGAGTCTGCCTGTTTACACTTTGCTGGAATGATGAAATATGTGATAAACGGTTGCTTAGCTTTGCACCTCATTCTCTAAAGATTTTCTTTTAGAGCTTGTCATTTCCTTTTTTTTTTTTTTTAGTTAAGGTTGTGACATTTACCCCCGGTTTCACAGACAAGGCTTAAGCCTAGTCCCAGACTAAAATGTAAGTCTGAACTGTTTCAACTGAAAGAAACTTGCACTGACTGATCTTAAAATATATCAGTGCCTTTGTTTTGTCTCAAGATGCACACCAGTAATGTTTTTTTCCTAAGGCATGTTTATGAAAATTACTTAAATGCCCTAATTGAACTATGACCTAATCCTGGCTTAGTCTAAGCCCTGTCTTTGAAACCAGGTCTTAGATTCCTGTTTTAGGGTTCTCCACTTACAGTACCAGTGAAATAAGCTGTTGGACAGATCAACACATCAAAAACATTTTTTTCAAGAGCTAGTAAGTCTTTATTATTTAAGGCCTTTGGGATGTCAGAAACCACCCACATATAGGGTAAAATATATGTTAAGTATATATAAAATTTCCTTTTTAATAACATTCATATTGAACCTCTGGTGTACTTTAGTTAGGCTCTTAATTACCTTTTTTCACGCTGTTGTTTTGTGAACCCTAATTTTACTGTTATGTTTTCTAGTTTAATGATATTAGCAATTAATAATAATAATAATTATTATTATTTATTATTATATTTTTATTAAAAACAACTATAGCATTGATGATGATGATGATGATTGTTGTTTTTATTATTATTAGCATCTAATTATAGCCACTATTATATAATAATACTTTTAATAATAATAATAGCATTGCTGTTGTTGTTGTTATTAGTACTATAATTATTATTAAAACCTAACACAGTTGAATTGGGGCAAATATTAAAACACTGATTGTTGTAATATTAATTATAATAGTCTTCTGTCATTGTATGTCATTAACTTTGTATAGTATTGTGAAAAAGACACAAATATTTGAAACTAGGCATTTGAAATTGTCAAAATAAAGTGAACTTGCAGAGCTCTTCTTTCTTGTGTTATAAATAATCCACACTGTGGACATTAAGCTGAAACCGGTGCAACGGCATTTCTTGTCAGTGTCAATCCGAGATGTTGTTCAAGTCTCCTGCCACAGTGGCTGGCAGATAAGCAAAATTACCTGCCACTTTGCAAAACCTACCACATTGGGTGGTGGCAGGTTTTAATTTCTTACCCTGCACATCTGCAAAATTGGAATTATTTCATGGACAAAGATCAGAAGTTAAATGATAGCCCTTTTTTCTTTTCTTTTTTTTTTTTAAGTAGTAATGCCACAGCGCTTTGATGTTGAAGATCCAACAAAAGAGACTGATGTTTAGAGGTCGACCGATAGTGGATTTTGCCGATACCGATGGCTAGTAGGGTTGTCAAAATGACTGAAAAACTAAATTCGAATTTAAAAGGCATAATTTCAGTTAGGGGAAAAAAAGCTTTTGGCTTCTCTCCTGAAGCCACAAGAGGGCGCAACGAGCAAAATATTATGCACGTTTCTTCAAAGCGTAATAAAATAACACGACTATCTTTGAAAAAAAAGTGCATAATGTTAAAAAAAAAAGTTTATAAACAATATATAATTAATAAAGTTGCTTAAACAATTAGAAGAAAAAAAACAGCACCATGCATGTATGTATAGTTTAATACAAAGGACCGAAAACCAATCACAAAGAGTAGGCTACTTTCTTCATTTAAAAACATGAGATACAGTGGGATAAGGGGAAAACCGCCATAAAGTCTTGAGACATGTTTTTTTAAAAGTTGAACTTATATTAATTTTACATGGCTTTCTAAACATGCCGCTCTCTTGTGTGAGACGCGAGTGTAATGCTGATAGATGCCCCGCTAGAAAATGTGAAAAATGTGTTCTGTGTGAACGGCTTGGTTTCAGTTTCGCCGTAAACAACATCTTCTCCACACTGATGCTCTGTGTTTGATTAGGGTTGGAGCTGAACTCAGCAGGACTGCGGCTCTCTAGGACCGAACTTGCCTACCCCTGGTCTAGGAGAACTCACCGGTATCACACACACTGCGGATGCGTCGCGTTCAACCCAAGCAGCGGTCTAAAACAGTTTATTAATGAGACAGTTTAAGAAAACAGTCTTGATCGCTCTGACCTCTGGGGATTTCACAAACAACTCCGGCCAGTGTTGAGGGATCTGTGCTTTAGCGCACACGCAGTGGACGTCTAATTGAGGTTTAGCTGTGTATGTTAAGCTAAACATGGCTTTTTCCAGTGTCCTTAGGCTTTGGCTCAGCCTGGAAAATTCTTATTTTTTTCAGTCCACTCTCAATGTCACAAGTGGGGGATGTAAAGCGTTTACATCTCCCCAAAATGTTATGGGCTCCCCGTTTGTGGAGTTCCCAGCAGCGCAAGGTTGGAATGTAATGTGAAACATAAATATCTGGATGGAGCAATAGCTCTTCATCTGGTTATAGCAAAACCCAATCTTCCACCTCCTCAAGAAAACACATATTTGGCAAAGAACTAAAAGCATTCAGTTTGTTGCCAGGTCAGTTCAAAGGAAGATGTCTGGTTTTTTAGAAATTATACATTGCGCCTATGGCGTGAACTTGCAGCCTTGAGCGCTGAAGGCCAAAGCAAGGTCACAGGCCAAAGTTAGGAGATTACAGAGAACTAAAAAGAGATGTGAAGTACTGTAGACATTGTTTAGCTTGAGTAAACAAGCCAGTTGTGCCTCTGTGTCAGATTGCATTAGCATGACATCATTGGGAGGGTTTGAAGAAGTCAGAATCCTCCAGCAGTATTGTAATGGTCTTCAAGAGCAGAAGTAAACATCAAAGCTCTGCTTATGTAGTCTGTTTGGTTTGCTCATATTGTTCATTTCGTTTGCCTTACTTTCAGATTAGAACAAAAACAATTCGGTGCCATTTTACACACTTGACTTGATTGCTTTTCCTTAAAAAAAAAATCAAGATTTTTTTTTTTTGAAATTAAATTATATTAATTTATATTAGATTATAATTATAAATCGTTTTTGATTATTTTAGATAATTATAATTCATTAAAATAATTGTAGTATTAATAATTATATCATAGATGTTGCAATAATAAAAATTATATTATATTATGTTATGTTATATTATATTATATTATATTATATTATATTTGTCCAGATTCCATGACTGTCTTGTTGACTTTAATGTATTCTCTACCCCCACCTCTCTCTCCTTCCCAGGAATGACGGACATCGCTGCAGTGTCGCCACATTCATATAGGTCTGATTGAGCGCAGCCGTGAGCTACTCAGTGTGTCGACGCTCAGACGGAATGATCCAGCAGGGTGACTAAGAGGAGGAAGAAGGGGGGAGAGGATGGGTGTGAATGCCTCCAGCTACCCTCACTCGTGCTCCCCTCGATTCGGGGGTAACCCACAGACCCAGCAGACCTTCATAGGTAAACTCACATTTCAATGCTATTATAGAGACATTTGTTGTTCCTAGTTTAGCAACTATTGTGATCGATTACAATAGAAAGGTTAGAAATAGAAAAAAATATTACATATTTTTGGGGTTTCAGATGGCATATATCAGACCCAAATTCTCTGGATCACATTGCAATATGATGATGTTTTTTTTCTATTACAAGAAAAGGAAATCTTTCTCAAAGACAGAAGTTCATCTTTGACTAGAATATAAAATAATTCTACATTGTTTATTGTTTACAAAAAACAAAGAACAATGTTCATGTTCAAAGGCAGTTCAACAGCGCAGAGAAATAGAATCTCATTAAATTATTGACTTCACCAGCTGGGACAGTCTTCATATTCTTTCACTGTAACATCTTGTCTGTATTCATTTATTTAAAGGCTTGGAAATTGTATCACAACTGTCAGCAGTTGCTTTGTAATTTTTGTTCTTTCAGTATCCCACAGAGTCTGGCTTTAACGGCATATTCTGATGTGAATATTTTCATGACTTTGCTGTCTTTGAGATCAGTAAAGTAGTGGTGCTTTCAAAATGCTAAGCCATGCATGACAGTGGGCCTACAATGAGAAATGGAACATTGGATTGAGACATAAAGTGTCGTCAGGGAGATATTAGCCATGCTGGGGAGGACATTAGATGACTTCATAGTTTCCTTTTTTGGCAGGTGAAAATTTAGAGATTTAGAGGGGGGAAAAGTTAAAAGTGCACATTAAGTGGTTTGGGGATACATACTTTCCTTTTTGAAGTTGGAATTGTTTATACAATGTTATGTCTAGGGCTGTGCAAAAAAATCGAATGCGATTTTCATGTGCATCTCGTCAGTAAAGCCGCTCCTGTGATTAGTAGTAAATCTCCAGCACGTGCTTTCAGATGGAGCGGCATTTACTACACAGAGCCGTAGTTCACTGACAAGCTACACATAATCGCGTTCAAAATCGGCAATGAATCTATTTTGTGTAGCTTGTCAGTCTGAAAGCACGTGCTGGAGATTTACTACTAATCACAGGAGCGGCTTTACTGACGAGATGCGCATGAAAATCACAATTGATTATTTGCACAGCCCTAGTTATAGCCTTAAGATTAATTAGTGCAGAAAAATTTAAAGCCACAGCAGGACTGTCCTTTGTCTCCGAACAACACACAGCGGTGTTTCCTTACTGAATGAATCCATGTTTTTGAACGAATCGAGTGAGTCAATGATTCAGTGGCCCATTCATAAGGACAGTCATTTGCCTCGTTTCTGAATGAATCAGCCGTTTGAATCGGTTGAATGAATGAATAAATGACTCACTCATTAAAACAGACATTTGCCGCCA